TGGGCAGATACAAGTATTTTGAAAGAATATTCTTGGGATTACGGATGGCCGGAAAATGGCACGTGCATACACACTGGTCGGTGAGAAGGAGAGGGGTGTTTATGCGTGTTTCCTATAATTTTTAAGTCTTAATGGTTGTGGCCAAACTTGTGGAAATGATGGAAAAGAAGAATAAGTTAATTGAAAGTGACAAAAGTTAAGTAATTTTAGTTGAATCGTGTGTCTGTACTCTGCACCTTAAAAGTGGCCATGTCCTTGTCATTTTGGAAATATATGGTGTGATTTTGTCTGTACCAGTGAAGAATGGAAGAGGGGTCCCTTCGAAAGTCGTGATGTTATTGCTATAAGAATGGACGGCATTAGTGTGCTACTGTGCATTGCTAGTTTCTCAATTTTCAAAGTGATTATAATGTGTTGATTTCTACCACACGTGCTAGATTATGACATAATGTTGTTTAAGGCCAAAATGGTCACTTAAAACTTAAAGCATGCTTTGTTACATTACTTTTTAATGGTACTTTTTCGATAGAAACTATCATTGTGGACAAAATGTGTTAATTAATATAAGGTTAATGTTAAGAATATGAGGAGAAAAAATTGAAGACGTGTGTGATAATGAGCAAATATTGATGACCTTTAGTGCAATTAAAAAGTGATAAAACAAATAAAAATTAGGGAAGAGCAGCGATTCTAAAACTTTAAGTTTTTTGCAAATTTTATCTTAATATTCAGTTTGTGTCAACAACGATCTCAAATCTTTGAAAAATTAGCACTTGGGGTCCAAATTCAATCCATTTGACCGTTAGTTGACCAAAAAATATCTTTGACCAAATCTAAAAGGCAAAATAGTAAATTCGTCATTATTCCACATAAAATAACCAAAAAAAAAAAGTGGAAGGAAAATGGAACTGTTCATCATCCTCAACCTACCAAACCCCAACACAATTCAACCCTCAGAATGCGGTGGTAGCTGGAGAGCACCAGTGTGTCCTCCATTAAGCCTAAATGGCAACGCGCTTGTCCCAAAACCAAGTATTGAAAAAAAAAAATTTGACAAAAGGAATCAGTTCCAATTTATCCCATGCCTCAACCAGTCAAATCCTTTAATATTCGAAAAGAAAAAAGAGTATTAATAGAAGTTTTGGTTTCGGAAAATTGTAATCAATTCAAATTGCAATCAAATTTTGACTTTTTGATATATAATTTTGGGTTAACAGGAATAGAGCTTGGCATCAAGGGTAGCCATTGAGACTGTCTTGAGGCGAATGAGAAGCTTAATGTGGCTTAGTATTTGAGAAACTCTTTCACTCTCTGATTTGGGGAGTATTTGGGGATGATTTTTATTGCTAGATAACGGGAATCTATTAAACGAGAAGTTATCGTCTGACTAGCAAACTCTTTCACAACGAAATGCCCATGGAAATCAACAACGACAACGAGTGGTGGTGGTGGCAGGTTGATTTGGTTTTGATTTAGTAGGTTGGATTAGGTTAGGGGGAAAAGGATTGGTTTGGGGTGGGTTGGGGTGAACAATCCATTTTCTTTTTACTTTTTTATTTTATTTTATATGTAATAATAACGAATTTACCATTTTGCCCTCTTTAGATTTGGTCAGACGATATTTTCTTAGTCAACTAACGATTAAATGGATGAAGTCCACCCATTTGGACCACGAGTGCTAATTTTTCAAAAGTTTGTGATCACTAGCGATATAAACTGAAATTTAAGTTAAAGTCTGCAAAAAATTAAAATGTTTAGGACCGTTGCTACAATTTTTCCTAAAAATTATAGTATTGATATAACCACCCTCTATGAAATGCGATTATGAGGTTTTTGGTGCTTTCTTTTATATAGTGACATGTAGGAATTTAATCACCGTTGGATGACTTTGGTTCGAGAGATTCTTATTAGATGCCTCATCAACTCGGTCTAGGGCTTAGGCACATCTGTAGAATCTACTCTACCTTTTTATTTTTATCGTTGAATCGTTATTCTCTCTCTTTACATTCAAGGATTTGGGCTAATTTCTTGATGAGTTTTTCTTCCCTTTTTAGTCTATAAAAATTCACCGTCTAACGTGATCTCTGTTGGATTTGTAATGGAGACTGGATTGTAAGGTTCTTAGTGCTCTTCGAGGGAGATTTGGGGTTCGTGGGTGATATTTTGAGCCAAACACTTTTATAAAAGGAAAGCTAATCTCTTGCATATTAATAAGTCCTAATAAATAAAATATGTTACAAATATTAAAATGATCCAATAAATTTGTAAGTAAAAAGGAATAATTCTTTGTTTGATTTTGATTATTTGAAAATCACTTCTCTTTTAAACTTATTTTTAATCACACATTTTTCATATCATTTTCAATTTTCTCAATAACTTTTGCCTACTTATTATAATCACGTGTTACAGAAAAAAATAATCTTCAAGAAATCACTTCTCAAAAATCTTTATCAAAAAAGCGCCAAGTCTCCCTTCCATAGCTTCAATCCACGTGTCAAATCTCGATCGACCCACATACCTCTCTCTTAAATTGGGTCACATTCAGCTTCTGCATTTATTTAAAAAAGGATGAACCGCATCCTTGGTGGCCCCCACCGCCCTGCCCTGGGCCTTGGTAAATGAGGTAAATTGCAGGTTATGCCTCCAAGAACACAGGGTGGAAGGCTGCTTGTACACTTGCACTTATCCAATGACCAAATTTATATTTCAGAATTCGAATCCTTGACGCGACAACATCAAGCAAAGCTGGAATTTTTCCACCTTCCCCTTTTACCACTTTGAGATGTCCCCTGGGGGCAGCGTCTGCATTTATTCTTTGATTAATTACTTGACTTTGATTTCCATATTGATTCAATGATATTTAACCAACATTAATAATAATAATAAATAAAAAACCCCCCTATGCTGTATAATGTAATGTCCTATCCTATGTAGTATTATCATTTGTTGAAATGGTTGGCATTAGGCAATAAAATTTAATCATAGCAATTGCAATTTACATACCAAGGGAGGCTTTTAAAAAGCCTGATTAATTAAAGCTCTACTAGAATGGGGGGGAAAAAACAATTTTCCAATAAAAAAATATCATTTAATGAAAATGGAAATCAAAGTCCAAGTATATACATAGGACAGGACATTAATATATCATACATTAATGTATGCCCTCCCTCTATTTCTATAATTTACAATTTAATTTTCTGCAAAAATACACCTCTAATGTTACCTATATTTTTCTTCACACTCGAATCGAATTCAAATCATCTCTAATATTTTTTCAATGTATATACATATTTGAAATATTTTTCATTTTGTAGAAAATAATTATTTAAAGTTACAATATTTGAGAGACCTGTCTTGAATAGACTACTAGTAAAACATATCATCGGGAGGCTATTACATCATCATATTATTTTCGCTACGATAATTTAAAAGGTGCTTGGTATTCATCACATTTTGAAGCAATAACTAAAATGATTTCACGTAACCTATCAATAAATTAATAAATTGTTTATTTATCGATAAATTAATAGCCTATTTAATGTATTAATTTTCTTGATTTCAATATTATTATTTTATAGTAAATTCGTTGTAGTTGAAAGAGATAAGCTAGTTCATTCCATTTGTATTACAAAAAAATTTACGTGACACATTTTTTTATAAAAAAAAAATGGTGTAAATTGCAATAAACATATCCAACTTCAACCTTTCACTTTTTTTTGCAACCTGCTATTAACCTTTTTTTTTTTTTTTGGACAACTAAGTCCCAGAGGCGTAGGGTGGGGCGGATCTTGGGTCCAAATAATTTAGCAAGGGAAAAAAAATATTTTTTAAGAAACTTGTTTTTATTTTAATGGAATTTTTTTAATGTACCAACCCAATATAAAATTTTTCATTGTCCTCCTCGACTCCATCCCTGATCCCCAACATACGATGAAATTAGTGATATCCTCATATTCATACGAATAAATGATTTCATTTTATATTTTCGTTAACAAATGATCACCTTACCCCACGCCCTGCCACCAATGAAACCACAACGCACTCCACCAAAAGTTTCAAAGTATGAATAATAGGAGAGTTATGTTACAGTAATCGGTTCAATGACAGTGAGAACACGTGTCAATACATAATTGGACAGTTTGAAAAAAAATACAACACCCAATCAGATGTTGCCATCCCACCCTGTCACCTCCCCCTACCCATGTTCAAGGAGTATTATTCATAGGTATAAACTGGTTGTACAAGGCCCAAACAAGAATTGTCCTAACTTTTCAATTCAATGTTTTCCCTCCATATCATTTTATGTAATTCTTTATGTACCATTTTTATGTACAAGTAGCATAATTCTCTAAATTATAATTTACAATTTCCCATGCAGCTTACTTTTCACTGGAGTGAAAAAAAAAAGAGTATTTTCCAGCATTTGAACACATACAAACAAGATTTGATCTTGGCTTTTTGCTTCTTCTTTTGAATTTCTCTCTCTATTTTTCAGACCCTTAATTTTAGGTGGATGGTTTCTCCATAGATCTAAGATTTTGTTAATATTCCTATCAAATCCAATGAATATCACCAATTTTATCAAATATTAGGTATTTACTTGTCTAAAAAAGGTTGGAGACGAAGTTGAAAATAAGTAAAACAGTTGGAACATCCAATTTACCAGAAAAAGAACACGCGATAGAGGTACATGAAATGAAGTATTGAAAACTTTTATCATATCTTCTAATTGCTTAAATTTATAGATAGGATGATGTTGACAATTTGTCTCATGTTAATTCCATTTTATGAGCATAATATAGAAGTTGATAATTCAAATTGAATTATCTATTAAACTTATGTTTGGTATGGATTTTAAGTTTCCTAAGAATTTAAGTCAAAATTAACAATTAATTTTGACTACATATACTCATGGGATCCACAACATTTTCAACCAGATATTTCATAATATTTTTTTTTTTCAAAATTTACTAAAAAATTGACTTTTAACTATATCAAAAATGGAAAATCAAGTTTCATCCCAATTATCGCCTTCCGACAAACACTCATATTTTCGTGTAAGATGACTGCAAAAATATGAGCATGTGTTCGTAGACAATAATGACTAAACAAATATTAATTAATATTTAAGTTGCTCACAAATAAGAGTCAAAAGGCTAGAAGCAAAATAAACATGGTTAAGGGTCCCTCTAATTGGTCGGATCTATAGTTTTTTTTTTTTTTTTTGTTATAAACGAGAGAAACACGGATCATATATTTTTCTAGTTATGAACGCAAACTCCGAATTGATCAAGTCTGTTGGTCAAAATGTATTTTCAAGACAATTAACGTGAAAAATGAGAACGCGTAGACCATAATATGCACACCAGTAAGTCAAACCAAGAATTCAGCATATATAATTGAACCAGATCGAGTCCCACTCACCCTTCTTATTCTAAAGATCAATTCCAAATTGGCACAACTATCTTCACCTCCATCACCAAACTCTGGTTTTCAGTCCCTATTTGACTGTTCCGTCTCCATTTTTGAGCTGCAATCTTTGTGGTTGCAATAATTTTTACTTGTTTTTGGAGGGGTGAGTGAATGGTTGCAGGTTTTTACCAGCAGCCTTGGAAATAAGTATTAAAAGATAAACTGCCAAATGTTGGACAGAGAGGGGGGAGAAAAGCTTTAGAATTGGTGGATGAAATAAAGGAGGGCCTAGGGCAATCCGAAGAACTCGTCCATACGCCGCGTATCTCTCACATCCTTATCCTCTCAATCTTATTGATTTTCTTCACGCACAGCCAGTTTTGTCTCCTCCTCTTTCTGTTTCTGTTCTGCAAAACCCATTACTAAAATAATAATTATTCTGATATATCTTGATACTTATCCATTTTTTTCTTTGATTCCTCTTTTCGCTTCTTATATTCTATCCTTACTACATATTTTGAGTTTTGGGATCTATCTTTATCTTTTTCTTTTGAACCCTCGAGTCATCGTTGAATCGAGGGGATTTTTTCCTTTTTCTTTTCGTGGTTTTTTTTTTTTGGACATTACTTTTGTGAGTCTGTTATGGCTTTGATTTCGGCTTTCTTTGAGATTTTTCAAAGACCTACAATTGCAGATATGATGATTGAGCTGATGGTGTTCATGGCTCCTATCTGGATAGCTGTTTTTGTTGGAGTTTTGGTGGGGTGGGCCTGGAAGCCAAAATGGGCTAATCTGAAGGTGGATCTTCTTGATTGTACAACAAAGAAACAAGAATCTTCTTCTTCTTCTTCAGGGTCAGGGATGATCTTTTCGCTGTTTCCTTCAATACCATGCATAAATTCTTTGAAACTACAAGTGCCCAGCTCTTTTTACTCGATTTTTGATTTTGGATTTGAGAAATATACTTCATCCCTGCCTATGCCTTCAATTTCAAGTCCTGATTGCAGGTGGGTTGGGAAAGTTTTCCACTTCCTTGAATTCTTGGAATTTGTTTTTGTATTTTTTTTTTTCAAATTTTGTCTAGTTTAGTTGATTAATTATTAAGCTAATTAATCATTTAAAAGTTTATTTAATAAAAATTTTAATTCTTGGTGATCAGTTCATCGAAGTTAGATAAAGAAAAATCAAGTTTTGTGACTGAGGATGACCTTAAATATTTACATCAATTAGTCGAAGAAAAAGATGAGGGTCCTGCTTGGATTCAGATGATGGATAGGTCGACCCCCAATATGAGCTATCAAGCTTGGAGAAGAGATCCTGAGGTAAATTTTTCTTCTCCGAATTTTTCAATTTGACCATTCAATATCGTCTTTAGGCTATGATTTGTGTTTCAATTTAAATGCTGACTTTTGTAACTGACGAACCGCAATTTTTTTCATTTCTAGAGTGGACCTCCACAATATCGTAGCAGAACTGTTTATGAGGATGCCACCCCTGAAATGGTGAGGGATTTCTTTTGGGATGATGAATTCCGAGCGAAGTGGGATGACATGCTTGTACATGCTGAAACTATAGAAGAATGCCCCATCACAGGGACCATGATGGTTCAGTGGGTGCGGAAGGTAGAAAGTGCTTTCTTTTTCATATGCTTATGCTTCTTTTGGTTCGTGTTTTGAGGAATATTTATAAGAGACTTTTCTTGTGGTGCAGTTTCCTTTCTTCTGTAGTGACAGAGAATATATCATAGGTCGCCGAATTTGGGAATCTGGACGAAGATATTATTGTCTTACAAAGGTAAGAAATTAGATTGTTATTCTTGCCATATAATATTTGATAATCATACGAAAATTTGGCAAAGTGGTAAGAATTCCATGTTTTGGCCATGGAGCCTAGATTTGAATCCCGGCAGCCACACATACATGTTATTTATGTTGTTTTATGAAAATTTGAAAGTCTTATTTCAAGTGTAAATCTACCTATCCTCATCACTTGCGTAGTTTGGAGGTACCACGAGTTTACCGGGATCTTTACCTACCTACAGAGTCAGAAAAGTACTGTGATGCTTACTTTCTAGGTTAATGGATACAGTCGTCTAGAATAAACTAACTTGCAACATGAGTGCCCCAAAATCATGCTGCGTGAAAAAGAGAGAGTCGAAAGTATGTGATGATTATATGCATCAACGCGTGTATGTATGCTGGTATCTAACTTGCAATATGGTGAAAAGTAACCACACAGTCTCTCAGTAGAAAATGGAAAACTCACTTCGTCGTATAAGTATCTCTGCTAGCGTAAATATACTGATAAAATTTTGTTTCTGAAGCATTTGATTACACTTTCTGCTCTCTACCCCATTCGGTTCTGTGAGTTTCTCCGGGACCTGGATACCCTCTTACCATTTAATCTTTCATCTATCCTCTATGTCTCTTCACCCAAATTTTTCTTCCATGCTACAAGAAGAAAAGTCTAATCTTGGAAATTATGAATCAGTTCACTGCGAAAGATTAGGTAGAATCATCTTAACAGTTTGTTTATTTAAGATTTGTTTTGGAATTGTCTAGTACTCGGTTTAGGGGTTTTACATCAAAAAGTATTTAGCGTTCTCTGTTGCTTTGCATTTAAAAATTGAATCTGATAGTCAAGGAAAATAATATGATTAGTCGACTTCAGCATGTTGTTCTGATTTTGGAGCTAGATATCTTTTATATATGAGTCAATCTGTATCTTCAACTGCTGCCTGCTGGAAATGGAAGTAGAGGAGCGTTGGAAAATAACAATGAGCAAGGAACTGCCATCCAATATGTGGACTAAATAATTATCCGTATTTGAGGTTTGTTTGCATGTGTATGTGTGCACAACAATGTGGGAAGGATGATGAAGATTTATTTTTCATGTTATCCTGCAAATTTGGCATTATATCTTTAAATGTCCTGTCATGTGAACCTATTGAAGTCAGTTACTTGAATACTAGTTTGTTTTCAGTTGCATGGGAATCTAAATGCTACCGTAGCAAAAGATTTATTGGCAAATACATGCATTTTGTGTCAGTCTATTTTGTGTGTCATTGCTATGAAAGTTGCGTATTGTTATTTGTACACTGTCTTACATTCCTATAAAATTATCTAATGATTCATTCCTTCGACGATTTTCTTACTCAAAAAAGGTTGCTCCATGTTATAGGGTGTTCCATGCTCCTCTCTGCCGCGTCGCAACAAACCAAGACGTGTTGATGTGTATTTTTCGAGTTGGTGCATTCGTGCAGGTATTGGACTTTTCATGTTATAACTTCATTACAATAATGCAAGGATTGCTGACCAAGCTACCATATTTGTTAAATCCTCGTGTAACAAAGTCAATGGTGAATCCTTAAAAGTAATAGTACAAGAAACTGAAAAAGCTTTGAGTTAATATAATTCTATACAATAAAATATTGACCCTTTCATCTTCAACTCCATATTTAAATAAAACCCTTCTCATAAAATCCAAGTGGTTTAGAAACTGAGACCAGTTTCCATATATCATGATAAATAAATAATAAGTGGCACGAAAAAGACAGTCTTGGGGACTGATAAACCATTGGCCACTAACATGCTGAGTTTTCTGATGTCAGTTGAATCGAAGAGAGATGGCCAGTTGACGGCATGTGAAGTTATACTTTTCCATCATGAAGACATGGGTATACCTTGGGAAATTGCAAAATTTGGCGTCAGGCAAGGTATGTGGGGGGCTGTGAAGAAGATTGACCCTGGTTTGCGTGCCTACCTGAAGCACAGAGCATCTGGAGCTCCACTTTCTCATTGTGCTTCCATGGCTCAGATTAATACTAAAGCAAGTCCTGACACCCTTGACTCCTTGGGGAGCACAAGTAATTTATCAGAGGTTGAAGCTCTTGATTCAGCGAGTAAGCCATCAGGAAGAAATATTCCAAAGTTCCTAGTTGTTGGTGGCGCCATTGCCCTTGCTTGTAGTCTTGATCGAGGGCTCTTGACCAAGGCTGTTATATTTGGAGTCGCCAGAAGGTTTGCTAAAATTGGTGGAAGGTTGTAATATTGGGAACTAGGCATAGCAAGGAGTATGTGAGGCTTGGTCCCTGCACTTCTCTGTACAAGGAAAAAATGTGTTCTTTATCCTTTTTTCTGAGCCTCAGGGCAGGCAGCCCCAGATCATGAAAATAACAAAATGTTTCGTTGCGGCATTCATTGAGAACTGGAAATTTCTTGCTGATTCACATTTTTCCCTTGTCTTTCTTGGTATTTTTCAGTGATTCTGTATGTGAATCAAAATTATCTGCGCTGAGATGTAGATTTATTATTATTGTTCAATTTAAATGCAGTCCTCATTACTAAAATATTTGGTGAGCTGCTGTCACGGAGTAATAGAGAAAAACATGTCCACTCGTTTTGCTGCGTGAGCATATCCTGCTAAGGAATTTCAAGATGTCCTTTAGGAGGAAGCCATCGGGAGAAATGCAAACAAATACATATACAACGAAATAATTCTTCTCCCAAAAGCAAATAAGTAAAATGTCTTTCCTGATAATTCTATATGTTAAAAATATTCTAAAAAATCAATCACATGAAATCACTAGAACATAAGCAATTTTTTTGCATGAAAAAAACTTCTCTAATGTGAGGAATAAAAGCCACGGAACTCCGTCCAATCAAAATCTCAACTATTAATCAAATAATAGGTATGCAAAGCCTTCTCTAATTACAACTAAAGGTTACAACGTATATTTCTTCAAGATAACAACGATCTTGACAAAACAATATAAAATGGGAAAAATATACCAACAAATCTGGTTATTGTTCACGCACATTTACCAGTGTTTCCGAACTCAAAATCCGATTTTCACCATTCAGATTGTAGTTCCGTGTCTTGTTAACCTCTCCTCCAAATTTCAGCTCGATCGGACAATGGAAGACTCGGGATCGGAGCTTTGATGAAATCTGGAAAAAAAAAACTGTTTCTCCTTCCTTTTCAAAAACAGGTCGAACTCCTATTTTCTCCAATTTTCTTGTATTTATATTCATGGGTTAACAACCTAATGGCTTTGGGCTATAACATAAAACCCCGAATATGAGCTTTCCACCTCATAAGAGGAAATAACCCAACATTTTGAACTATATCTTATTATGTAGACGATTACTCGATCCATTTATACAATGTGACTATCCTCGAGCACAAGGCATTTACTAAATACCAAAATTTTGTGCAGCTCTTTTACGAACTCTATTGTCATGATCCTGGGAACTCGAACCATGAGGTCCCCCACATGCTCTCTCCATATATCCAATATGGCTTGACCTTCACTTCTCGTTGGCCTTGTGATCAGCCCAAGCATGGGCTTGGGGCCAAACCCCATGACCAATCTTCGTCATTAATAAATCTTGCTAAAACTCGATCGTTAAATCCTCGTTAATACATTTCAGATAAGGAGTCCCACTCCTATTACAAATCATTCACATGAAACACTGATTTAAGAAACGGACATTCCTCAACGCCTTTTCTCCAAATTTTGTTTGTGGTCGATCTCGCTCCAATATCAAGTACAGTTAGTTCAATAAAATTTGAAAACACCAAAATTTTATAATTTTTTTTATTCTATAAACAAAAGAAAGATTAAATTTAAAAAATGTCATTAACAAAAGTTAACTTGCAATAAAAATAAAAATAATAAATAAAAGTGAACTAGCCGTGATGAATGAATATCTCGAGTCCAGAATTGAATGAATATCGAAGAGTCCAACCAAACGAGTAACAAGGGCCAACTAATGATCACAGCCATCGAGAGAAAGCACAATAACTAATGATCACAGCCATCGAGAGAAAGCACATTTCGGGTTTTAACTAATCAGCCAATGAAAAGGTGTCTAGTGAACTCTAACTTAAAAAGTTGCATTCACGTTTTATCCTTCAATTGAAATACTATAAGTCTACGTTTGATTACATCAAATGGATTGTGACGTTCCATTCTGGTGCATAGTCGTAGAAACCAATAAAAAAGATGGTCTGATCCGCAACACGCAATATTATATAATGGCTTTGGAAATCCCAATTTGTAACGAATTGGTAGCATGCACATGATATGTTTTAGTCACGAGTGAGTGTGATATGGGATGTCCAACAAAAACATTTCTAGACAAACATTTGCCACTAAATAGCACAAATCCCTTACCTGCTGGACATGCTGTCGAAAATTTCTTAAATTTTGAAAATAGCACAAAAGGTCCCTTTTTGAAACCTTTAATGAGGAATAACCATTGTCGCCCTGTTCCGTATGTTCTACTGTTAAATCCCAATAAATAGGAAAAAAAAGAAAAATAAAAAATAAATAGAAAGGACAAAATCACTCACCTATTAGATATGGTGCGCAAAACCTCCCATCTATTGGAATTGGCTAAAAAGGTCTATGTTGTCTTTTTTCTCAATACAAAGATTGAAAATGACGAATATACCATCAATTTAAATAAAGAAAATAAGAAAAAAAACTAATTTCAAATGTTGTCCCAATTTTTTTTCAAATTCACGGCCGCCAAAATGAGGAATATACGAAAATCGTTGATCTCCACTCACCGCCACCAAATTCGAAGCCCTATCCATAACCTCACATCCGTTCCTCACTCCCATCCTCCGTGTATATACATATCCCCGAATTCACGGTGAAAATAGTTTATGGAACCGTCTTTCAAACTCACTTTAATCAAGTGCCCCCACACTTGTTTATTGAACCCATTCTTCCATCTATTGTCCGAATAATTCTTCTTATTTCTTCGACTGGGTAAAAGCATTTCTGGAACTCTAGGTATGCTTTTTTATTGAATTACAACACCTCTTTATGCACTGGGTCTTTGGGTGATTTTGATATCATTAGGGTTTAGACTAGAACTGATTTGGGTTATGGGGCTTGAATAAGACGATTGAATGAGTCTATTTTAGCTAAAACATATAGGTTCAGCATGATGATAGGGGAGCATTCCGCATTAAAGGTTTCAAATTGGGACCTTTTGTGCTCTTTCTAAAAGATAAGGTTGTTTTGACAGTATGTCCAATAGGTAGGAGTTTTGCGATGTTTAGACTTTACTCTTATGTTATCTNTTTTTTTTTTTTTGGTTTTTTATTATTATATACAAAACATAATGTTCTTAACAAATTATAAAGCAATGCTATTTATTATTATAATGATAAAACATTGGTGATGTAGCAATTGAGGTGAAAAAATGAGATTTGACAGTTCAATTTTTATGAGAGAGAAAGAGAGATTGAATTGTCACATTACATTATTTCATCTAAATTGTCACATCACTAATATTTCATCATTATAATGATAAATAACATTATTTGAAATTATATTCATCTCACATTTAGTCCCTATTGCTTGATCCTCATTTTTTTTTTATAAAATGTATTTTGGAATAGTAAATTGATGGATAATATGTGGTTAAAAATTAAGAAATTTTTTTGGATATACACTTAATATTATTTTATTGAAAAATGTGTCGTTGAGAAGAAAAAAAAGGAAAAAAAATGGGGAATAAACAATGGCAAAATCAAAGTCAAAATTAATTTTAATTATATATTTTATAAGATTAATAATTTTTCAATTACATATTTTGTCATTTTTATCAAAATCTACAAGTGGATTTTTCCATAATTTTATTAGAGCTCTTGTTTGAGTCCCCTTTTTAGAGCAAAAAAAATGCACTTTCAAATAGTGATTTTTGGAGAATACGAGGTTAAAAAAAATCAATTTACGTGTAATATTATTTTATTGAAAAATGTGTGATTAAAAATAAATTTTGAAAAAATAATTTTTTTTTTTTATAAAATGAGGCTCAAATAACGACTGATTCTATATCTTAGACCTACCACAATTATAGGACATGGACTGACTAAAGCCGCGTCAAGCTTAAGCAACCGGCAATCAAATAAAATAAAATAAAATAAATAATTCTCCTTTTCACTTTCACAGCAATCCAAGAGCAAAAATGCAATAACTTGGGATCTACATTCTGGAGCTATATCGTTTGGAGAGAATTAAAATTAAAATTTTAGTAAATTTTAATAAAAATATATAAACGTGTAATTAAAAAATTGTGCATCTAATATATGATTAAAATTATTTTAATTTTAATCTTTACCAGATATGGCTAAATTATATCGGGTTAAATATGGGAAGCGTTTTCTAATGTTTCGGCCCAATATTCCGTACGTAATCCACTAACTATAAAAGCCGGAAAAGAAAGCCAAATCAAAATATCGTGAAGAAGAGAGAAGGGTAATAAAACGGAGGCGGGTCGAGATCCGTCGAAGGCACGTCGTCGGGTTTCGTCCATTGCATTCTCACAGATCTACGCTTCTAACTTGTATCATCCGACGTCGTCTAGATGAAAGGCTCTTGCACTATTGTCGCGTTGGTTGTTGCCGCTTCCGCCGCTGCGCTTTCATCATGCGCCGCCGGTGGCCGTGATGTAACATTCAAACCTGCCTCCCATCAGGTAATTCTTTTCCCTCATATTTCTATGTAACGTTTATACTTTTTAATCCACGAGAACGTTTCAATTTTTTTTGGAAATATAAATTTATAATTTGTTTGAATTTATGATTTCTCTAACGTTTTACTAGCCTGATCTACTTATTTCCTTGGAGACTTCTAACATTTTCCAATTTATAGCAATGCTACGTTTTTCCCTCGGTATTTATCTCAGAAATATCTTCGTTTAGTTCGGAAATATCAATTTATTCATCCTATTCACAGTTTCATTCATTTGTAATTAGACTAATTCCTGAGTTGAAAAGCAATTAGTTTTGGTTTAAAGCTTTGTTACTAAAGCAGCGATATCGTTTTCTTCTTTGAAGAGTACATCGATAAATTCACTTGTGGCGTCATCAGAGAAGAATAAATTTGCGCCGAGGTTCGATGGGTTGAGGTTCATAGAGACGCTGGTGACACTTTGAAGAGTACATCGATAAATTCACGTGTGGCGTCATCAGAGATGAATAAATTTGCGCCGAGGTGCGATGGGGTGAGGGTCATAGAGACGCTG